GCTTAGATGTATTTTCTATCTATCAATGTGTTGGTCAGGGACATGAATCATCTGCCTGGCTTTTCACATTATATATCAATGAGCTCATTTGCCAGCTTGGTTGTTCTGGCTACGGCCTCCGCTTACCTCGGGGTCACTATCTGGGTCGGGGGACAAGGGTGGCCCAGTCGTCTGAGGCACCGCGATTTGGGTTTAACGCCGCTTTTAACAGTATTACAGTTATATCACGGCGTATCAGCTTAATGTGGGAGGAAAGCTCGAAGTGATGCAGGTCTCAGACGTTTACCACCTCGGTGAAACCCACGAGCACGGGTATGGTGCTGACAAACCTAGAAACATAATCAGGGCGAACCGGGATTCGAACCCACAATCATAGGTTTCTTGCGTGCCAAAGGGACGCAACTCTGCACAGCGAATCTCGGCACCTTAGACGACTGAGCCACCTGTGCCCCCTCTAGCTGTGACTTCTATTTCAAAGCAACTATTTATTGGCAAACTTGGGCAATACAAATGTCAACCAGCTTTTGACAAAAGATGTTAAAAATCTCCCTGTTTCAACCTGCTGCGCCTTGTTCGTTAACACGATCTTTTCCATGTCATGAATGATTGCATAGCTAATTGCAAGGTTCCCAGTTAATGTAAATGAGCTTGTCTTATGAGTGAAAAGATGAGAAATGTAGATTGTTTAATGCTTGTGAAACAAATGTGCGACCGGCAAGACCTGTTAAGATATATTAGTGTAAGATCAGAAGGTCAACACAGGATTTGACAACTTTCACTACGTGTTCCTTTAAAGTTTTATGTTCTGTCTGATATGGTCAAAATAGCATGCTCTAAGATAAAATCGCGAGAATGGCAGTGCGGAACTGTAGCCCTTGACATAGTCAAACACACTTTTATTTTATGTCATGTACTATTAATATGCAAGAAAGATATGAAACGATCAGATGCGAATTGCTTTGTTGACCTATCGTCGAATGATGATGATGTCATCATGTCTTTCCTCTTAGACGGACTGTCTGATTGCATGAGAAACATTGAACTTAACATATGGGGCGAAACTATGTTACTAGTCTCTCATTATGTTAACAAGTGGCAGCATTTGTTCATACCCCCTGCACTATGACATGAAACTACATTGTTTAGCTTTAATCTATATTCATACATCTATCTTATATAATGTATCTTCAATACTGGAGTAAATAAAGACAATATATCTGTGATTAGTTAAGCAGGACGCCCAGACATGGTAATCATGGGATATATGTCCCATTTAACGACCACAATGTCCGGATTGATGGTGCTCAGTGTCTGAGTGAATCATGGCTCACAACTACATGTTGGGAATTTTGTGGCTTGTGCTGAACCACCCTGAGTGGATCAGTGTAATGCAGAGTTCGTGGCACTCTACAAGCCATGAGGAGGTACAGGTTAATAACTCGCCCATACAGACCACTGTTTAGTACACACAGTAGGTCCGCCAGGTATAACAATAATTTTACATGCATGTGACGTGTATTCCCAGTCAGTACTGACTGTTATTCAATATTAAACCTTATGAGCAGTAACATTTCAAGTGGTGAAATTTGTTTTCGAAATGGAGCCATATTTGTACAGGTGAGTTGGTTATTTAAACTCAGCATGGAACGTTCTTAGTGATAAAAATATACAGTGCGTGTTATATTCCAAGATGGATTAGACTTCAATCCATCCAGAACAAAGCAGGCTGACTTGTTTCACTTGCTGAAATGTGTGTTTTTTCTAGTGTGAATTCTCCTTTGGCAAACAGTTCGCGGTCATCCATGTAAAGCAGGTGAGTAAGAGGAGTTGGGGAAATTGTAACGAAATTGATAGTATCATGGGATTGCTTGCAAACAATTTAAGTAGTTTTTTCACCTCAAATGATGTTGTGAAAGGTGAGTGTGGACGTTATACATTGTGTATCTACATGTATGCATATAAAGGAGATGTAAAGGATTCTTGTATTGTTTTGAAAATGGTAGACTGAAGAGTGAGTGAGTGAGTGAGTTGGGTTTAACGCCGCTTTTAACAGTATTACAGTTATATCACGGCGTGTCCTTTTATCATATACTTCAGTGTGAAAGATATTTTCATTGCAGTGAACACAACACTCGATGTTTCACTGCAGTGAACATAATACTTTGACGGAACTATTGTCATACAAAAAAAATATCTCCCTTTATCGTTAGTGTCAAGCCTGTACACAAAACTGTTGAGTGAATGATTTGGGTTTAACGCCGCTTTTAACAGTATTCCAGCTATATCGCGGCGTGTCAGCTTAATGTGGGAGGAAAGCCCGAAGTGATGCAGGTCTCAGACGTTTACCACTTCGGTGAAACCCACGAGCACGGGTTCGGTGCTGACAAACCTAGAAACATGATAGGGGCGAACCCGGATTCGAACCCACAATCATAGGTTCTGGCGTGCCCAAGGAACGAAACGCTTCAGAGGCCACTAGGCCACCCGTGCCCCCTGAAGATATGAAAAGAATTGTTATAATATGCAACTGCAGGCTCTGCAAACTGGTAAATGTATCTCGTATCAAACAATTAGAAGCCCTGCATGGGAACATCACTGTTCACGAATGTTCACAAACGTATTTCTGTTTAGATTACAATCCTGCGAACAATACTAGGATACATCTCTTACAGAAAGTTCAAAATCATTTAAACAATATTTGTGAAAGCAACATTATGGCCTGGAAATATATATTACAATGTTACTAAATGTTGACATGCCCTTTGCACATTGGCACATTGCGGTGTAGTTCCCATCATCTTCGGATTGGATGCGTGACACACAATACGGAAGCAATAGTGGAACGACCTTGCATATTATGTATAATATTATTTTAAAATGTTGAAGATGAGTACAATGGCATTCTACTAAGCAAAGGTTACCATATTCTACGCGTCTAATTCATACAAAGAAAATATTACGAATTTTCAACACACCAAAGATTTAATATTTTAATGTCATCTATCCATCAAGCAACTGTACAGCATGTATATGTAACTTCCAATGTACACTTTACATGTTTGTATCATTGGCCTGTGGCCTACAGTTCACTTAAATTAAGATATCTTACAATTAGAAACATTTTCTTATTCAATGGAATCTACACGTATTAAAAATTAAAATGGTATTGAAGTCATCATCGGCATAATTAAATCATCGTAGAGACAGAAATCATCTCTTTCCTAAACACATCACCTTGCACATAGGAAACAGAGTAAAACCTGTCCTAATCATCTAATATATCCACACTCCTACCTGTGAGGGCACGACTTACCATGCACAAACATACTTCTTTGTGCCCAGATACGAGTAAATTCGACAGTGTACAATACCGCCGAGCGAGTTAGAAAGGAGGTGTTTTTTTCTTGCTTTAAGCATTATTCCAGAAATGCCACAATGAAGAAACACCAGAAATCGGCTTCCAATAAGGTATCCATGTCGGGAACTCGGCCTGACAAGCCAACGGTTTAATCACTTGGTAAAACAACCGGCCTTAATATCCGATTGAATATCAAATCACATTGTATATTAAAAGTGAACATTGGGCCATTGTCTCTAACTTAATAAGATACTTAGAATGTTTTAGAATGGAGAGGGAAACATTGTTTTGTCTATAGCAGTTTCTCGCTTGTGCCTCGCGTCGTCGATCTCTTAAGGTACTGGTAGCTATAAACAAGTTTAAACTTAAAACATGTGTACATGAAACTATAAACAATATATATTACAGCGACCTTGTGTGTTACATGTGTATAACATTGATCAGTAACGTTTCTGCAATACAGCGACGACAAAACGTTACGGCATAACGTATGGTCATTATGTCAAATTAATACAGGAAGGTAATATGCCAAACATATTCAAACATAGGAACTATACTTTGGAATTCAGCAACAAATCTAGCCAGCCATAAAGGAGATCAGGGGACTAACAGTATCTAACCTGACTAATCGATCCCCCAGCAGGAGGGATGTCCTCACATGGCATTGGTTGTGGATAAGCTTATCTTTAACAACAACAACAACAACAACAAAAATCGTCACGATATGGCTGAAATATTGCCGATGTGACGTAAAGCATTAACTCACTCACTTTAACAAAATCCTGTTCTCTGACTGGTGATTATAGCTACTTTGTTTATTATAGGTCTAACGTACCAATTAGGCAGATACTTTATGCTACTTGATCCTTCCAGGTAGAGCTTTCAGTATCTTGTATTTATGATAGTACAGCTTGCTTGTTTCAAACAAGCAATTAGTTATTCACACGGAAAAGCAAAATATGATTGAAAGCGAACCTTTCATAAACAAGGATAAATTTGGGAGACACTCATGAGTAAACAAACTCGTAAAATCAGTGTTTGAGACAAAGATATATCACGTATTAGAGGAACACATGTGATGTATGTACACACACACACACACACACATATATATATACAGTGTGTCTGTTAAACTAGATATCATTACATGGTATCAAGCATAAAAGAACTGTCATAACAATTAAATATTACAAAGAATATCACTATATATATATATATATATATATATATATATATATGCAAAGAAAAATAGGTCTACTTCAGTTGGGGAAAACATTGTGTATCCAAACTAACTAAAGACACATGGCAACATGGACACTCCTTGTATATAAAAGTGAGCATGTGGTACATCTACATCTACATTTATATATATTCACTGTGTGTATGTAACATGTACACAAAAGGAGATTCTGATTAATAACTTCGGTTTGAAGTCTGAACAGTCGGCATGTGAATGCTTTGAGGACGAGTATTTCAGACACCGGTTTTGGTTTCCGATCAGTTTGTTTTGTAATTTGGTGGGTGATTATATGTGAATCATAACGATCACTATCATTACTTTCACTATGAACATGAAAACAAAGCTGATGTTTTTAGCATAATTATGTCCCATTCCCTCGGATATTTGGAATGTGTGCTTTTAATTTCAAAGTGCAAATCGAAAATATAAATAACATCATTTTCAGATAGGTAGACAACTTACCTGGACAATTCGTTACACAAACATATGCTATGTGTTATGTACTAGTATCAATCTGATGTATTCACTATATCAGACTTAGTTCTCGGGACAGCCACGCGACACAAGAAGATCATACACTGGCGTATGACCATTTTCTTTTGAAAGCATAGCTGCTGTCTTTCCACCCTTGTTCCTCGCGTTAATGTTGACAATATTGTGGGAAAGTACATACTCCACTAATTTAATTTCACCTCCAAGAGAGGCAACATGGAGAACAGTATCATCAGCGCTGTCGACGAATGTCAGATCAGCATTATTGATCACAAGTAAGTCAAAAACGTCTTGATTACCGCCGTTTGCTGCCATCATCACTGCCGTCCTACCGTATTTATCTCTACTGTTGATGTCCACTAACCTACGGGAGAGAACAGACCGTACAATATCTTTATCTCCGCCACAACAGGCTGCATGAAGTAAGTTATTTCCGCTTTTGTCAAGTAGTGACACGCCAGCCTCTTTTTTGACAAGAAAGTCAAACACTTCTTTCTGATTCTGCCGTGCCGCCCACATTAATGGTGTCCTCCCATAATCGTCGACACAGTTTATATCTACTTCTCCATCTGACAAAATGCTTTTCACACGAGACAAGTCTCCCCAGTAGCTCGCATCGTTGAGGTCAGTGAGCATTTTGGGTTCTTTGGTTGAAGGATTTTGCGTTGCTACAACAAATTGTTTTTATATAAAAATAGAAATAAATATATTCTTACATATAAATCTTCGCAAAACTCACATAATCAAAACAAGAAATACATGTACACAGACACCCCAAAATGATGAAACCTTCTCTGTACAGTTTAGGGGAGACACTTGACTGTAATGTGAGAAATATTCATCTATTTAAACCCACACATCCCAGGTAAATTACCCATGTCTCTGGTATATATAAAGAAATACATACTTCTGTTCCTTCAATTAACTCCCAAGAAGTGAAGTGATCCTTTTGCGTAGTGAGTAGTAAACAAATGATACGATGGGACTGTAGCTCATCTTGATAAATGTTTGGCTACATGGTTAGTCTTTCATAATAGTTTGTGTAAGCATTAATAGTCAATGTTCATGCATAGAATTTAAAGAGAGCATTAAAGGACAAAAAAAACCATGCAAGAGTTCTGCTTTCTGTCTAGTAACTCCAGAGAAATATTTTCAGAGCCAAAAATTAATTTACAGAGAATGTGAATAAAATAAACACATGCAAAGCAAGTCAACTCCTCCTTCTTACCTCACACAAATCTGGCTTTGCATTTCTTGTTTTGAAGAGTATAGTAACTTAAGGTTTTGAGTGTTGTAACTGTTAGCAAACAACTTTTGAGTCGTTTGGCGCTATTTGAAATCCTCTGAAAAAGGGCATGCTTGATTTGTTTGTCTAATATTTTAAACACACTTAGTTCAGGATGTACGCGTCATTAAGTCCCATCAATTCTTGAACATTGGATAACAAATGTATCCCATAAGATTTCAAGCACAATCGAAATACCAAAATACTAAATATATCGTATATAAATATTTTATATAGTACTAAGTATACTGGTTTTCTTTTTACTTTTTTTACACTTACGCCAAAGACGATTTGTCTCCTCGTCATCTTCATCAATGCCTTCAGCGATAGATCCACCTTTGAACAAAATTGCACATATATACATACAGCATGTATGTATCTGAAATGTATATTATGTCATTGTTGTCAATATCGAGTCATCAGACCACTTCATCAGTTCATAACCTGGTCCTGACACCTTTAAGAATGGTGATGGCATACAGCCACGACGTACCAGGTATTTTTGCAGAAGCAGTTGCGACATATAAACGTTTGAAGAGTCATCTTATTGACACTTTTCAATTGATAATTGTCTGCTTTTTGTTTTTGCGGAAACATTTTCTGCAAAGATGTGCTGGCTATGATAATGTCGGACTTTGGGCCTTGTGGGTAATTGAAAACCACGCATTGTCAAAGCACAAAGCACGGACATACCATTTGACGACTTTCTAAAAGGCTTTGTCTAGTCATAGCTTGGACATATGATCTGTGCCAATATGCACTTACCTGAACAAGGGGGCGGTCGGGTAGCCTAGTGGTTAAAGCGTTGGCTCGTCACGCCGAAGACCCAGGTTCGAATCCCGACATGGGTACAATGTGTGAAGCCCATTTCTGGTGTCCCCCGCCGTGATATTGCTGGAATATTGCTAAAAGCGGCGTAAAACCAAACTCACACACTCACTCACTTACCTGAACAAGACTACAAGTTGCTGGACTTCCATTTTTGTGCTAGCCTCGGTGGCTGAGTGGGTTAGGTCGCTGACCTTGTGTGCTGGCGAGGTGCCTTACTCTGAGAGTGTGGCTTCGAATCCCGGATGGGGCTACACCCCAAAACGTACCTGAATTCTTACTTTACTAAAAAGTGGAATGACAGATATAACAAATGTTACATTTCTCCACATTCTTTTAAGCATTCTCTATCCAAAGCTTTCGGCCAAGGGAGCCTCGCCAATTGACAGCTATCAGAGGAGTATACAAAGTACATGATCTATATTACGAGTAACCTGGCTTCCATTTCTATGGAAGCGCCGTGGCTGAAACGATCTACATCACCGCGGTCAATCAAGTATAACCATGATCGATCAGTTACGTCACTTCCTACGACAAGGGTCGGTTGCTAGGTACTTGTTATCACCCTGAATGTCTCGGGAGTGATGTTAAATATTTGCTTACGTTTCTATTTGTGACCAAGGGTGAAGGTAGCACACTTGTGGAAGTAAAGGTTGGATTGTGAAAATGTGCCAAGTGCTGAACTTGAGCCTTTTGTGATGTCATGACGTTTTACATTTGTTCTTTTTTAGATTTACGTCGGAGGAAATGTTTCAGTTTAGGTTTTTTTCCCTGAACTGAAATCATTAGCTGCCCAAGATTATTGTGAACATTTGACAACACATCTGCTGAACTGGTACCTTCATCATGTTATTTTATCATGAGATTCAGTCAGTGTTGTCATTAACGGCTTAGTCTTGCTTGTCAGCGGTATGGGGAACTATGTAGAAACGTCGCTTTTACACTATACTAAAGTTGTTATCGACACTCCTCTTGTCTACCTTCAGTTGTCATCCCTTAACTTCTAAGAAATGTCTATCAAACACATAGCTCATTTGTCATATAGATATCTGGCATGGGTATCTAAATATCTGCCCAAGAAAAGGTTCAACCGTGAATACGAATCTTCAGTAGATATTGGTCTTACATAATTCTTATTAAGTCATCGTCACAAGTAATCTTCAAGTTTTTGATGATATGAATCGGTGTCAACTATAACTAATTACTTACCAGATTTGACCAAACTGAAAAAGTAATAAATACAAGATAAAAAATGCCACTTGAAGTTGATAAATACATACAGTTAATGTTAATTATCATGATAAATATCGCTCTTTATATATTCAACAATGGCTAACCCACTTACGAAAATGTATGCATTGTGTCTTGGTTACCTAATATAGACTCTTAAAATAATTAGGTGATACTCGGAAATAACTTAAAATTTCCAAAATTGTAGAAATATAAGATTCTAGTAATAGTTGAATAATAATAATGATGGATTGGGAACATATTACAACAGTAGATGTTATGACTGCCAACCATCTGGAAGGACGATGGGGCTAAGTTGGGATATTTTAAAAGTTGACGTTTTTGGATCAGTAGTGCGTAATACCGCCACGATTTGTCACATCCAGTCAGTCTACAAAGTATGAGTCACCCAATGGCGATTTGAGGGAGTCTGTCCAACTCCTATTTCAGTGCCGAGCTAAGTTCAGCCAACGTGGTCGACGGCCTATGACTTTGACGCACTCAACTCCATATCATGTCCAAGAGGTGATCAACGGTGGAAAGGTCTGGATTCTCTGCTGACTATATATAACATTTTGTGGATGTTATGCTGCTGGAGGTGGGCATGGTTGACGCGTGCACAGTTAGCACCTGCGTCGTCGTCCTCAAAAACAAAGTGTCAACCCACTGGTATGCAAACGGGACAACAAAGGGTGTCAGTATGTTGCATCGATAGTACTGTTTAATGACCCTTCCTTGCACAATATGAGGGGTTAGGGGATGGAGGGTTAGCCATACCATAACCGATCCACCGCTAATCTGTCATGAGGTCTCAGGTTGACATTGGCTTGACGTACATTTCAACGTCGCCAGACACAACCCCGCCTATCAAGGAAGTACACATTAAAATTGCATAAAGCTCCCTAAATCATTTGATTTGTTTGAATGGTCCGCACGCAGCAATATCGCAGCAATATGTACCAAGGCCTGTCGTAATTGTGTCTGGATCAACTAAATATGTATTACTAAATATGTATTATTGAAAATGGGATTTGGCTTTGTTTGGGATAATCAAAGCATTGGTAGTATTCAATCATTTTTATCAGAATTTATGATAAGAGCAAAATGTATTTATCAGCAAGACTGGTATGCATCCTTGTCACATGGTGCAAAAACATTTAATTATTCACATTTAATGTGTCAAGAGTATTATATTAGGTATATTTCTATCCATAGGTTTCGTGTAGCTTTAGTAAAGTTTAGATGTAGTTCTCACCAACTAAAAATAGAGACTGGCAGATATGCAAATGTTCCAAGAAATGAAAGGTTTTGCAATGTTTGTAAAAAAAGGTTTCGTTGAGGATGAGTATCATTTCTTGTTTGTATACACGATGTATGCCGAATTGCGTGAACAGTACATTCCAAGAAACTACTATGTTTTTCCCACATTACATAAATTCAATGTCTTGATGTCAAGTGATAAATGTAATATCATAAGAAATTTGGCTATGCATATTAATAAGTCTATGCAATTAAGGACAAAACTGCTGATGTAAATTTCAATTACAAGAATGGCTGCTGTACAACTGCTGTGACATGGGCCGATGGCCTACGTGACCTTGCTGAATAAACATAATAAAAAACTATTCAGTAACTAATATGAGCAACGACCAAATGAATAAATATGAAGGATACAATGATACGTAATATATCGAGCCACCTGTACAGTTAAATGGTTTATCGATCTTGTAAGTCATATCATTCTAGCGATTTACTTTTTTGCTTAACCCAGAAATATTTCAATTATAAGACGACAGCCTGTAAATAATCAAGACTGGACCAGACAATCCATTGATTGATAATGTGAACAACGATCCACGTCGTCAGGGTACAATGACATACATTTAATAAAAGCCTTTGTGCCTGACCACCAATCTTCTTACGACCAGCATAAGTTGCAAGGGACCTGTTATAACCCGTGATTCCCACGGGTAGTGTGTACACAGTAAGATAGTATTGCAGGCGTGGAATAATATGAACAAAATAAAGATGCAAAATAAGCTTATGCGAGTTTCAGTTTTCTTTACCTGCCTTTCCAGTGTGTGTTAAACATTCTGCAAAGAGAATAATTCAATATGAAACGGCCTGAATTAATGCACTCGCATACATAAATTGATTCGTTTTGTTCACTCCCACTTTTCGACAAACCGCATCAGGTTTTCAAATTGAAATATGTCAAGATAAGCTCTTACATTTGTAAACCTTGCTCGGAATTCACAGCAAACAGTATTGTTATAAATACTTATCAGAATGTTGTTTAGTGGAAACTAACGAATTAGAATTGAATTATATGATATGTAAACTGACCTTCTGAAAACGATGACGATACTAATGACGACACAAATGACGACGACAACAACACTAACTGAGAACGCAATGATGAACCCGTTGCCTGAATGTGTCTCGTCAGGTAGATCTCTTTTGGGTGTGTCTTTTGTTGGTGGAGCGGTTATTCTCTCTAGGTAAAGTAATATCAGAATAAGCGAATGAAACATGGAGCTACTTGTATATAGAATTCCCTATAATTCTCTTCATTGTGACATACAAGTTAGAAGTAGGGTGACCCAGGAAATATTAAACACATCCTCACATTATTTGTTTCATCTACATATGGAATATGTAGAGGATTTTTCATGTGTCTCGTAAAATATCATGTTTCTCTCATCGAGTGACGGGAAAAGGAGATATTTTCACCTTTTATCTCCTTTTCCCCGTCACGAGACGAGAGACACATGAAATATCTTATTTATTATATTCTTTTTGTGTCGTATTCTGCCGGAAAATTCTGCCGTAAATTTTCCACACCTTACATACTGGGATGGTTCACCACCCCGTGTATTTGCGACTTTAAAAGTAGTTTGGTGTTTGCAAAATCTTAAAAAAAATAAACAACAGTCGGACAAAATATTTAGGCTCTTTATCATACATTTCGATATGATTATATACAAAATCAACTATTACTTTAAACATTCTTGAAAACAAGGAGACCGCTGTTGGAATCGAAAGAATACACGCTGGTCAAGTAACAAAAATGGCGCTTTACGAAACGAACAGTCTCGATTAACGAGTTAAATGAATTAAATTTGTTTATAACGAAACATTTCCGAGAAAATAACAAACGGTACGAAGTGATATTAACTCCATAAATGTTGAACTAACGTAAAAAAGACGTCAACAGTTCGTGTGAGCACGGGTGGCCCAGGCGTCTCAGGCCCCACGATTCGCTGTGCAGAGTTTCGTCCCTTGGGCACGCCAGAAACCTATGATTGTGGGTTTGAATTCCGGTTCGCCCCAATTATGTTTCCAGGTTTGTCAGCACCATACCCGTGCTCGTGGATTTCACCGAAGTGGCAAACGTCTGAGACCTTCATCACTCCGGGCTTTCCTCCCACATTAAGCTGACACGCCGCGATATAACTGGAATACTGTTTAAAGCGGCGTTCAACCCAACTCGCTCACTCAACAGCTTGTGTACAGGCTTGACACTAACGATAAAGGGAGAGAATTTCAGGGGAGGTTACTCTTGTATGACAATAGTGTTATGTTCACTGCAATGAAAATATCTTTCACACTGAAATATATGATAAAAGGATATTTTATTTAAATGTCAGTTGGTGTATGGTGTGACACTGCGAATGTGCATTTATCTTGCATTTGAAATTGTTTGAATCATTATCTTTTAACAAAACAGAAATATGGTTACAACAATGCATCCAGTGTTTTGTGAATATCATTTCTCTATTATACATTTGTAGGTTTGGTAGTCTGACAAGACAGGAAAAAAAGTTTCGCTGCAGATGTCAAGCCTGACAAAGTTCCCCGTTTTATTCAGAGCTGTTATTGTTTAGTAAAGCAAAACTAAACTGGCTTGATTGAGCATGCACAAATGCAGAAATTGCATCTGTTACTTTACTCATATGCAACAACAGATAACATTAGAGTTGAAACGGAATTACACTTAGGTAAGCGTGCAGGGGGAAGTGCTGGTGGCATGTGTAATCTGACCATGCATATACAGCTATCAGGGAATAGGCCTCCTCTGACCGTGGATTATGAATGCTTGCAATAAATATGTTCCAAACAGGAAATTATATCCTCCCTGTTTCACAGTTAGATCCTGAGATATTGTCGCGCTTCTGAACCCTTTTTCTGGTTCATCATGTAATAGTGTGTGGTGTGCGTGAACCAAATGAGTGAGTGAGTGAGTTAAAAATTAACGTCACATCGGCAATATTTCAGCCATATCGTGACGAGAACATTTATAATACTGACATTAAAAAGACTGTCATCGACGGACAGTATAACAACTAGCATATCACAGTTTATGAGTAAGCTAGTTTAGAACAATTAAAAGAATAACCTACTATTCAACAATACATTATAAAAACGGGCTTCAGATCGCCAGCAACCAAAGTTAGGCCACCTTACTGGGGACCGTGGGGACATACAATACTTCTGTTACCCGCACGGCTCCCCAGCAGGATTTACACCATCCCTTCAGCTGCTGGCGATGGTACGCAATTAAGCAATAATTTAAACAAAACAAATATACTACGTTTAAAATCTGTGGTATGAATAAACGTACTTTCAGGATGTGGTCTTACATATCCTCTCAGGGGGACAATAATTTAACACTACTTCAACCCCCTTTGAGGATACAGCCATTAACCATCTGAGTTACACATTAAACACTACCAATATTATAAAAATCAACTATCTACACAATCAAAATTTATCAATAAGTTCTATTGCTCTTAAACATCCCACAATTAAATGACAACTGATACTATTAAAACGATCCTTAAGAGATGATGATTTGAAATAGTTATCCCTTGTGATGGCAAAATCAATACGGTCAAGGCGTGAACCAAAGTTAAACTCATGTACATGGAGCTTAAATATTTTACCTTCATATTCGTTACACATAATCCCTTTGTAGTTTCCTTTGCAGCCTTTTACGCACTGCCCAGTTTGTTGATAACATACGTGATCAATGCAATTATTGCTGCAAGGAATATTGCATTTATCGCCACACCATCCAGGAACACAACCCTCTAAGCAGGCTCCAGTGACTTTATCACAATAGGTATTTTTGTTGGCGCGAGGTCGACATCTAGAATCGCAAGGTTTGTCACATAGTTGTCCATATAATCCCGCACGGCAAGGACTCTCGCAACATATCCCTGGGACTGCAACACAGGAAATAGTAATCAATTGTATGTAGAAGGGCACTTGTACATGAAGCAGCATTCATTTACCAACATTACAAAGAGACGGATGCGTGTGTGGTTTGAAGGGGTGAGTATTTCCCAGAATTTCGAGTAAAATTCTTACAAGGCAGTATTAAATGTTTAAATTATACACATGTTTTCTTTAAAGTGTGTTTATTTGATTTTTGATTTAAGCAGAGGGATTGTATATATATATACATATACACAAAAATGAGGTAAATGTTCACTCGGTGTACATGTAATATATAATAAAATAATAAAGTCCACGTTAGTCCATCATCTTCTTTATATCAGTTTCATACATAGTACTTTCGCTGTCTCATGACAGCTCTTCAGTGTCATGAGACAGCGAAAGTACTATGTATGAAACTGATATAAAGAAGATGATGGACTAACGTAGACTTTATTATTTTATTATATATATAAGTTGATAATCAAGTATTAATATGGATACCCATAACCAGTGGATGTGGTATATTAGAATGATATGGAAAGTGATTGGCTGTAATATTCACAGGTTTTGTGAATATTTATTTTTTTACATTTGTCTGAAGGTAGTAACATATTCATTAAAATACTATTCAAACGTCCAGATAAGATGAAGTAGAATATGTAGAATTTGAATACAAACCTGATACAACAATTCATGTACACCAACTCAAACCTCTGTGGGAATTTTGCTTTTACTTCTTTTATTATTATGCTTGGAAATACCTGTGTCAAGTTAACAACCAATATAGTATCACATACCATCGTACAAGCGATTCGGCTTTTAGCAGATATTTCTTATGAATATGAAAAGGGTTGTGCTGCTTATATTTACATAGGTCCATGGGTCTCTATATTTGATAATAAACAAAAACGAAGAATACTAACCAAGTACCATGACAAGAATAAGAAAGGTAATCAACATTTCTGGTTCACCTTTGACTTTCGTGCCTGGAAAAGATAAAACAATACATAATCTTCACATTCAATAGGTTCGTACAATGTCATGCGTAGAAGTACAGGTTTCTAGGTTTGTCAGTACCATACCCGTGCTCGTGGGTTTCACCGAAGTGGTAAACGTCTGAGACCTGCATCACTTCGGGCTTTCCTCCCACATTAAGCTGACACGCCTTGATATGACTGGAATACTGTTAAAAGCGGCGTAAACATAACTTACTCACTAAAATAATATGTTTTATGAACATGTCATAATGATATGTAACAGCGACAAAACACTTTTCAAATAAATCTTTGATTATTGTTCTGTACTTTTCTAACAACATCATAAGCATGTGTGTATGAATTACTACCACTGAGTGATGATACAAGATGTTCCTGGTGTGCCAACGAACTGTCAACGTCAATGTATTGAGGCTGTTTTCAGCATCCTAAAAACAGAGCCAAGGCCACATAAAAGGACGAAGGTGGTAAATATTTATTTATAAGGTTTGTTGCCTCTCCTGCAGGTACCATTGGCATTGCACAAAGTAAGAACAAGATCATACTCTATGTGGTTGATATAAATTAAACGACTCCAGACACTTTTGGTTATAGGTGGGTCTGTAAACAGTTAGAGCCCAAAGTATCGACTGAGGTTGTTCAATTATAGGAAAGCGTTGCAGGACATGGACTTAGCAGCTAATAATGTAAATTCCACAACTTCTGGCTGCCAAAACCTATCATACTGCTACCAACCTGGTGTTCATATAATTAAAAGAAACTTCTCTGTTGTTGACAATAAGAACCTTCGTCAGTTGTTATTCAAATATGGGCCAAAATAGCGAGAGCAGCCTCCTACCAATATATTGCTGTTCCATCTACTACTAAATCCCTGTCTCAATAATTAACCACAATCATAAATGCAATCAAGGAAGGACTTTCGTCATATTTACAGAGATAAGTGGATGTATTACCGTGTGAACAGAAACAAACTGACAGAATTTGCTGGACAATCACAGAAAAGAACCAGGTTCTATTATGCCAAAACATTTGACTTTTCAACTTTGTTTACCACTATCCAATATGTAAAACCTTAAGAAAACCTTCATTCCTTGATCCCTTGGGCTTTTGTTATGTTACATGCCTTTGCATGTGTTTGTGACGGGTGCCACCGGTGGGGCAGGATACGCTCGCCTTTTCGCGAACACCTGGTGTCATTACTATTAGATAGTGATTCCTAAACACATGCTCATGATAAAGTCGGAATCGTGCATTCACTCAAGTTACAAATATGTAAATGCTTTTAGCACATTTGTGTCACATTAGTAACATCATCCATAATCACGGTGACAATGGAACCCACATTACTACATGCCTCGTTTTCACGAGTCGCGAACATTTCATATCGGAAATTTTAATCCAGAATTTGAGTAATTAATTAAAATTGTTATGTATTTTACAGTATGATCATTACACAAATAGTACTTGTATGACGTTATCTTAAAACATTGTTTCACGGATGTTTCTCAGCTGGTGAAAGCGAATTTGTGTTTTCCTACATATACTGAACAACAAATGTTCCTGTGACATTGCATACGATTTAATGCAAACTTATGTTTTTTACCAAATCTGAAACAATTTCGGTTTGCAACAAAAACAAGACTCCTGTAAATGTTCAAATGGTTTAATTTGCCATACTGACTTCAGAAAATGCATGATTTCTTAAAAAAACATAAACATGCCTAAATGTCAATAGCGTGTGTGTCCACCTCTGGTTGCGATGCAAGCAACACAACTTCGTCTCATTGAATGGACCAGGCGTAGCACTAAGTCCTGTGGGATATCTGTCCACATCTGCTGGAGCATGTTTCGAAGTTCCTGGAGTGTCTGTGGAACACGTGGTTGACGTCGAAGGCGCCGATCCATCTCATCCCACATCTGCTCGATTGGTGAGAGATCAGGGGAGCGAGCCGGCCAGGGGATGACAGTCACGTTGTTTTGTTGAAGAGAATCCGGAACAAGTCGAGCAATATGAGGCCGGGCGTTGTCATGTTAAAAGCTAATGCCTGGACCATGACGACTCAGAAACGGTAAAACAACAGGGCCGATGATCTCGTCGCGGTAGCGCTGTCCATTGAGATTTCCTTCTACCACTATCAAACGGGTCCTCTGGCTTGCTGTCATCCCACCCCATAACATAACGCTGCCGCCCCCGAACCGATCTTCTTCCATGACAGAATGATTTGAGCACCTTTAGAATACAGTACCACAACTTCTCGTGAGGACGGTCTCCGTCGTACGTCACATGTCTCAAAGACAAGCAACCAGTTTTTGTGAGAATCCGTCGGACGCGAACTCGCGACCTTCGGATTGTTAGCCCGACAGCTAACCGACTGAGCTACGTCCACACTGTGAAACAAAATGCAAATTTACCTAGTCATGCCTACGACGTTACGGAATTGAACGAGAAGGGTCGAATAGGCGACGGACCCTTACGAAGGTTACGGGTAGGCATGGTGACTCGTGACTTTAGTCTATCGACACTTACGAATGATCCCGATGCCATTTGGCACACTCGTCCCATTCCGTAATCTACAAGATACCGAGTGGCGAGGAATGATCCGATATGGCGCGAACTGAAAACGGCTCCAGGCGTCGAACTCGCGAGTACGCATGAATGACGTGTTATTTAATAATTCGTCGGGTGGATTTTGTGACAGAAAAGTGTGGTAGGGAACACTGTAAGGAGTATGTTGCAAGGAACGAGGGAGGCGCATGTGCATGGCTAGTGACGACACAACGGTGAGTTCGCTTTTGAATAAGTACCGAAAAAATGTAGCCGGTGAAAGTGGTTTGTGTAAATGTTCCAGGACAGTTTCCAGTAGCCAAAGTATTCGACACAAAACCATTTTATTCTTTTTACTCGATGTTTTCGTGTGAAGAATATTAGGAGTCGCTATAGAATCTATAATAGAAACTAAACGGGTAGATTTACCGAACCCTAATGATCGTGAAGGGATGATTAATCGTAAAGGGGATCCAAGGGCTAAGGACAGAATTCGGGGTAATCTACCCTAACACTAGCGATATTTGGATGTGTTCATCCATAATTCTTGTGCATAATAATGGAAATGAATGCACCGAAAAAATAATATATGTATATTAGTTCCCATTTATAACCCTTCTAGCCACTTGAATTACGAGAAAAACGAAATAAAAAATATATAAAAAATAAAAGTGCTTTCGTAAACTAGCGCTTGGCGTATTCAATGACATTTCGTGTAGAGATGATAGATCACTGGGAGGAGTTTATGCACACTCGATGACCCCTGACGTCACAGGGCATTGTTTCGCCGGTGTGACCGGAAACAAAATACTACAAATTACGTCATAGGGTATTGTCACGTGATTAAAAAGTTTGTGGTACTGTATTCTAAAGGTAGGCCGAATGGTTGACGTAACGTTCACCTCAACGTCGGTACACTCGAATCCGTCCATCGCTGTGGCTGAGGTGAAAACGAGACTCGTCAGTGAATAGAACTTGTCCCCACTGCATGGCCGTCCAGCTTAGACGCTCTCAACACCACTGTATACGTGCTTGACGGTGGTTTCATGTCAAAATGGGACGTCTGGCGGGTCTTCTGGCGATAATCCATGCACATCTGAGGCGGCGACGTACGGTTTGTGAAGATATTCGTCGAAGGCCAGGGATGCTTTTTTGCAGTCACTGTTGCTGGCTGGAATCGATTTCGTAGGTGTGTTGTTCGAATCCAGTTGTCTTGTCGATTATTGGTTGCGCGTGGCCTGCCACTCCCAGGATGGTCTCTGACTGCATTCGTCTGTTGCCAACGTTGCCATAAACACCAAATGGTGTTTCTGTGGACGTTGAATTATCTTGCAACATTCCTCATCGACAAAGGCTACTAAAAAAACCCATCTAATGATCGATGATGTCCCAATGGCAGCATGATAATTGCTACAATGAGGAAACGTACACATACCCCTACTGCCCACCTGATTTTCTGATATGTGTGATAGATTGAGCGCATAATCCCACCCTTATATTTAGTGTTCGGAGCAAATGTACGGCTTGCTACAGCTACAACATTTATTCAACATCGGTAGCCAGGAATAGAGCCGAGTGAGTGAGTGAGTGATTTACGTCACATCGGCAATTTTCCAGCCATATCGTGACGAGAAATTATATACTATTAGTACTTATATTTAGACTTAATAAAAATCTGTCAACGATGGACAGTAAAATAACCAGAAAATATCACAGATGAATATTTAAAACTAGCATATATCCATAAAACGATACCACTATATGGAACAATACAATATAAAAAGGGCCTTAGATCGCCAGCAACTGAAGGTAGATCACCACACTAGGGACCATGGGGACTTCCATGGGGACTTCCATTACTTTTGCGCCATTTGAAGTACACGCTGTCATCTATGTATACTGCTTGGATAAAAGAGATGCAAGTCTTGAATGACTCTTGTGCGCGAATTACGCATATGTCGGAAAGCGCACGTTAAATCCCCAATTTAAGAAAGTAAGGAAGAATGACTATCGCGTGTGCATGGCGTATTCACCTTTCAAAAGATTTAAGAAGTCAATATACAAGGTAAGTATTGATCGAGTGATTTTTATGTAACATTGTTACGGATATGTGAACATATACACGTAGCACACAGTTGCGAGTGATCGTGGAGTGAATGAGTGTTGGTTAGTGTGGCTACTGTCGCTTCCAACAGCATATTCAGTTACGATTATTTTACACTATGTATATGTATGATGTGCAAGGAACGCCAGAAATGATGCAGGTTGCCACTTTGATGAAACCCACGAGCATGTGGGTGTACCCAGAAACATATAATCGGAGCGAACAGAGATTCAACGAGGATATGTTTCTTGCACACCTAGAGTGAGTGAGTGAGTAAGTGTTGCTTTAAGCCGCATCAACAATATACCAGCTATTCGCACACCTAGAGGGAACACAGCTAGTACGATTTTGTTTTGTTTTATTTGGTGATAGCCTCTGCACTCAGGAAATATGACGGTGGTTTGTAAAAATTTGGGTCTGGACCGAACAATCCACTTACTCACGACAATCAACGCATCTTACCCAAGAATCCATGGAGGCATTGGACCTGATGTTGCAAAGTCACACAGCATAAGGTCGGTATTTTCAATAATTGGAAGCACTATAATAAAGTGTATACAGTGTTCCCATGAAAGCGTGAGGAAAGGTACTTTAAACTGGTTTGCGTGTGTCATGGGAAAGCGACCTCACGGGGCTGGTAATTGTATCCTGAAGACCAGCAACCCATACATGCATCAACAATGAGTGAACGCCTGCAGTTACCAATGCCGTACTATATTATACAGGCAGGTGTATTGCTTTGCGGTGTCAGGCAAGAAGCAAACAAGAATTTTTGAATCCATTCAGTGATCCATTCATGTAAGGTTGACCGCTTTTTAGCGTTTAACACCCACTGGAATCTGTTTGGGCGGATACTGTTTCTCCGGCGTGTTTATACATTACATATTGCTAACCATACAATTTTTAAAGTACATTATATGTTCTATTTGGAGCGGCATTGCTTCTCACAATGAACCATAATGCCTTCAAGAATGTTCTCTAATTTTTTTGTGTCAGCTTTTCAGCTCGTAGACAGCCATGATTAATGGGGACATATCATGAGTGTATGAATGAGATGGGACTGACGCTGATTCAAACAGCATTCCAGTTATATGACGGCATACACCTTAATGTGGGAGGAAAACCCTAAGTTTACCTAGGAGCACGAACACGGCCAATTCTAGAAACATAATTCGAACCCACAAGCATAGGTTTCTGGTGTGGCAAAGGGACGCAACCCTACACAGCGAACTGCGGCGCCTTAGACGATTGGGTCTCCCGTGTCCACAGGGACTTATTATGACCCTGAATTGCGACTCGTGTTGGAACCAGAAAATTAGATCTTAAAAAGAGATCCCTGATGTTTGGAAGGAAATATTTTATTACATGCTGGGTTTGACGCCGCTGCTAGATATCAACATCAAAACAGTGAAAAAACTTGCAATACACAACAACCATAACAATGTTACATGACGAACACGTATTTCGCAATGAAAATATATTCTTACAGAGATTCTATCGCCAATACTTGTTTAGTATTAACCCTGGTCCGCCATCACCCGCCTCACTAACGCGTGACTGTGTACTGGATATTGTCACCAACGAATCAAGCCACAGCCAGTTTTCAGGGAGGGGAAAACAAAGCTTAGCACAATGAACGCTCATATCACATCGCACATCTTGTGCAACTCGGCCACAGCCTTGCAGTCATTTGATCTACACATTGCCTCAAAAGTAGGCAATATTTTACACGATGTAATAATACAGCGAGAAGGCAGGCTCATGTGACTGTCATGTGTTATAAACGCCCATATTACTTTCACTATCATAACATCGACACACTTCTCAACGACACTACACCTTTGTAGGTATTCATTGGTGATGGGAGAACGTAATGTATACTGACTCGTGTAATATTGACGATATAGAGACACATGACTTTCTCAGTGTATCGGTAATACATATAAAATCTTTAGTAGCTGCTGTTGTTCTTTAATATATATGTAATACACATAAATAAACATAAACAAATTCGTTGATATTAGCAGCCATTAATAGTAGTGTGATATGTACCTACAAAAAGTTTAAAATGGTTGTTTATCGCCCCATTTATTACATATGACGGTGCCTATTATTATGATGACCTATTCGCCTATTGTGAAAAGCATAGGTTACTAAGGACCAATACCACCCCGGAGTCTCCTCGGGACAGTTCGGGAATGAGGCCACAAAGGAACAGAGTCACATCTGATCTTGATTTTTGTAATGCTATTAGACAGATTCAGTTTGCGGTCAAAGCGATAAAGTAAGAATAATATGTAATCTATTATGTACAAACGTATATAAAACATACAATTTCATTGTGTTCTCATAATGTAATAATCAATCGGTGATTTGAATAAAACAACAAAAAATAAACACAAATGTTTGTGTCCTTCTTTCTTAGTTGATGCTGCTTTCAAGAATACTACTGTGCCCTGTAAACACACAAATATAGGTTGCAGCGAACCTATGGCTCCCAATGCTAGTCACGCCCTTTATTATTTACTTCCGAATCGACAATAAGGTCTGTTGTGAAAGTGTGGACGTGTCACATCCTGATAAGGTATTCTAACGTACCCAATCTCACATAAGTGGATTGTCTATAACCTTTTTACTATCACAACAATATGAGCGGCCCTTAACCACACAAGTACATATACAAGGTATAAATCACAAAACGTTATTTCGTCCTAACCTTTGGGAAAATAAAGAAAAAATGCATGTACAAATGATAATTACCATGTTAAGTAATATGTATACCACAACTCGTCCATGGGTATTGACAAATACAGGTCTTGTGCCACCGTGGGATCCCCGAGGCGCTCTTGAATACATAAGCCGACAACCAAGATTCAACAACAATGAAACTAAAATATGGGTTAATAAATAAACACAAAGAAAAACTGCCGTTCCTTACAAAATTAGTAATTCAAGCAAGTTTTACGACAATAAAATAGGACCAACATATACTCAACTGCCTGGAAATGAAAGCATACACTTACAAAATTATTTGACGAAAAACAACCGTTACAAGGCTGAAAACAGTCGCCGAAACACTGCACACCTGAAGGTCCAAAGCACAACTATGTTACCGGTATCAAATACATAACCATCGACTACACATTTATTGTATGATTCATTGTTAGCCACCATCAAACATGGGTGTACACTGTTTTTTGTCCGGCAGTTTAGTACCCTGATGAAAACATTTATAATTCGCTTACCGGGTTCGCAAAGTTTCAAACTCCGTTGTCACAACTACGCAGAAAATGGGCTATCCACAAACTGGTCTCGCTACCGCACCCTTCATTACACACCTTACAGTGGCGAGCCGAAGCATATTTATAACTGCACTATTGTCAGTTGCACAATAACTGACCTGCCTGATTCAGACGCGCGATAAACATGATATGGGTAGTTCACGGCAACATTTTGCACCCGTAAACCTGTATCCTACATTCAAAACCTCCAATGTATAACATACCAAATAATAGTGAAATATAATTTCCGTGCAAGGGGTGATCATGTTTAGACATAAGGGAATATGAACATGATAGGACACAAAGTAAACGAAAGTATTTATACACAGCTTTTCAAGGCACTGCGCACTGTAGACTGATAGCAAGTTTTTTTGACACAGAACAAAAAAGAAGTTATGTCCCTTTATATTATTCACATGATGAAAGGGAAAGGAAATATTTTCGGAAACGAACAAAAATATCAACCAAACGCTAAAATCATGAAAACACAAATACACTAGGTAAGACAACATGCATAAAATTGCATCAAGTGAAGATGTTCGTTCTGTTTGTGTGTTGTTCAACGCTCCACTCAGCAATATTCCAGCTGTATGTCAGCAGTCTGTAAAATATAAAGTCTTGACCAGAAAGCCCAGAAATTGAAATCATGAACATCCACGAAGTTTGGACTCCATAACATGCAGGAGTCTAAAATATCAGTATCTATTTGCTGTGGGTTCAAAGTTTCTCTCCGATAAAAACTCTTCGACAAATTTGAGAGTTCGTCCAATATTGAAAACAAGGCCTTGTAAAATCATAAAAAAAAATACACTGTATTTGTCACGCCTTTGATGTTGTATAATATTAGTATCTACTGGTTGTAAGTTCGAGCATAAAATATTTTCAGTTATGTTTCTTGTATCATTTGGTAGTGTAAAGCCAATTGCACTCTTTCACTATATCCCCTTTATTGATGACCACGGTCTAGAGAAACACAATCACTGGCCCCATCTCGTTTGTGTCAATCTCCTGGTAAATATGTTCAGAGTTACGCTGTTTCGAAGTGGTAGCAACATCTGCGTCAGGTGGGAATGTTTCTTCTTCGCCTTCATCCACATTCTGCGAATAGCTTATTTCGTCCTGGTAGGTGATGCTGTGATAAAACAAGACACATTTAGGAAGGCGAATTACACTATTTTTACACAACCTTTTGGATGTGGTTGTATTTGAGTTAGTGAAGAAATTTGGTTTTACTTCATTTATAACAATATTAAGGCTTTATCACGGCGGGGGATTTATTTCAAGCATATGTGTTAACAGATGGATTTAATTAAAATATGAATAATGTTACGGTTCCAAATTGATGAGGTTACAGATACGACTCCTTACTGACAATACTTTCCAAATGAAAGTATTTAGAAGCCCACGACATATATATTAGCTGTTCAGTACCTCAGGTTATCCGAAATAATACCCCTAGTGAGGCTCCAATGCTTGAGTTAGTCCTCGTTTTAATGCCGAGTGATAGACATAGTATGATCATATACCATCAGTGAACTACATTTGGTTTGATAAAATAAATACAGCCACAAGCAGCATAAATTACAGCAGATACTAACTGAACATAAAAGAATATCACAGCAGACTTTCAAGACTTAATTCTGATTCTTATTAAACAATTTTGACTGGCTGAATAAACTATTGCAACTGCTATAGAATATATCCCAAATTTACACACTGACCTTGTGGAGGACCGACCCATGCGGTAACAGGCGTAGCATACAGCTGTTGCAACAAGCAGTACTACTGTAAGGAGTACTGCATACGGGAGGATACTACTCGAATTATCTATAACAAAGAAAAATGTCAGTACATAAGAGCTTGTACGAGCTTCACTTTATGACATTTTTATAAAGAATACAAGCAAAAGACAGCCTACAAGTTTAAAGAAATTCAAATACCGTTTTCATAACATTCACATTGGTTACATTTACAACTTGGTAAAGTTTGGTATCAAATTGACTCTTAATAATATTACAGTGTACTGAAAGTGAATGTAAACTTGTGTATAACTATACTTAAGAGACAACATTTTATTTAATATCGGTCACCAATCATAAAACGTGTCTATAATATCAATTCCAAATTATCGTAAAATAGGGAGGATGTGGACATATCTTTGCAAAACTAATCGTTCCTTTCATCTGATGATTTCATGATATCTGTTATGAGTATTACATACTTCTGGAGTAAGTGAAACAAACAATGGTTTTCACATGAAATTTACCTGTGCCACTAGATTCAGTTGTGCGCTCAGTTGTTGGAAAACCCTCTGAACAATTCAGAGTACATCCTTCCTCTGTTACAAAACATACTTTGATACATTTTCCAGTCGGCTGATCACACACATGATCATTACACAGAGTTCTGGTAAGATTACAGAACTGTCCATACATCCCATTGTGACACACTTTGAAACAAGTTCCGCTGTTTGAAATGCAAGTGTAATTGGGACAGTTCTCAGAACATGGTTTACAATCTTTTCCAAAATGACCTTCGGTGCAACCTTCAGCACATTCCCCAGTGATGTTACATCGTTTGTTAATGCAGTTCGAGTTGCACTGAAATGAACACAATGGACCATACCAGCCAGCCACACAACCATGGACGCAATCTCCGCTCTCTTTGTGGCACTCAGGTGTACACAGGCTTGAAATGTTTACATCTGCTCCTGTACAATGTGTCTCAGGAATTACCGCTGGATTGGAACGACATTTTTCACTGCACATGTCGACACACTGTTCCCCATATAATCCCGGTGCACATCCAGCCTCACACGATCCTGAAGAGTAATTACATGAGTACTCACAGTTCAGGCCATGATAGGGTGGGTGACAATGGTCACACGTGCCTGTTGTCCTATTGCACGATTCGCACCTGCTGGAACAATTCTTGCAATCTGAGCCGAAGTAGAAATCGTGACATCCAGAGAAACATTTATCGCCTTGGTTACAGTATTCCTCTTCACAGCCCCCTGGACAATTGGCGCAGTTTTCTGTTGGAACAAGACAACCTACATTGCAGTTTACACCATGGTATCCAGGTTCACAACCTTCGGTACAATATTCTGTGCCTGAAACTTCCTGTTCTTTACACTTTTTGAGCTTGCAATTCTTGCTGCACAAGGACTTGCATTTTGGGTCGTAATATCCAGTGTCGCATTCTGTGATGCAGTTTCCTGATGCCGTAATACACTCTGAACATTTCTGGTCGTCACGACAGGGGTCGGCTGTAAATAAAAACCGTCAGTAGGACTTACGTCATGTTTTGTATTAATGTACAACCAAACACGGACGAAGACCATACAGAGAACTTAAACAAATCACCATTATTGATAGTTGTATGTTTCGAAAAATGAAGAGATCTGTTTTATGTTTATGTAAAAATATTGACAAACGATCTTACCTCTTGTTGAAAGAACCAAGCAGGCAATAGTTACAAGTACCACACCAGCCATTACTTATCTGAAATATAAACAAAATAAAACTACGCTTATGTTGTGTACAGAGTAATGCTAATACATAATCAAGAGACGACGTTATAATATGCCTTTCACCCTTTTAATGGTCATAGCGTAAGATAACGCGTAAAACTAATGGTTATTAAATACAATAAAAAACATGACAAGACGAGTTAAGCTGATTATGCGCATTTAGGAAATTAATTTGATGTGCAATAAACGCACATATAGAATCAACGTATCAGTAAAACGAATAAGAAAGTATATAAACCTTAAATCAGCCCCTTTGTCAATGCGTTTCACAAGCTATACATGTAACAACTCTCACATTCATGAAGGCGCGGACAGCTGCATGTGGATGACAGAGGGTATACTGCGCACAAGAGGCGGGACTTCTCCTAAATAACCTGTGGTACATGGAAATAGAAACTATGATCTAGGGCTCAGTGATCACATATGTCAACTTAATCACAGCACACTTCAGCTGATGAGTTTCGTATTCCTCTTGCGTGTATTTGTCATTCAGATATCGTGTCTTACTAGTGATATACGTTATTAACAAAGTGTGCGCAGCATCTGATTAAACATTGTGAAAGAAACAAAATTGGCAAAACAATGTTTTGTAAATACCACATTATTATATTAGGTGTCCTCTCTGTGTGCGACATGTGAAAGAACATACAACATATAGTAACAACTGAAACACGCACGTAGGTTCTTGTAGGTACAAAGCATCTTTGTGGAATCCGAACAAGAAATAATACCAACTGAGAATCATTTGTATTCCGCCTTCAAAGAGACAAAACGTACCTTTGTGATATCAAACTTTGTATGGGAGGTGAGCCTGAGAGACGACCGGGTCATGTCAAGAGACAGCAGACTGTTTAAATGTTTGAACTATGCTTGCAACTAGCGTTAAGAAACAAAATTGTGGAACAACTAAAAATATGCACAGCATTGCATCAGCTGCCGTTAATGATAACAACTTGTCCAAAGATTTTCCACTGTCTCCAAAGTTATTTTGGTTTAAATTAATTATATTCAAGGTCATAGGAAATGCAGTGTAGGAAATGCAGTGATGAATGTTGTCATGGCGATCATACATGACGCTCAGCTTATTATTGACACCTTGAACCTTAATTTGTTCACGAGTTCTTTAAATGGTAATCATGAGTAAAAGGTACCCACATAAAATGTGTTGTTAAGTCTCTGTCTCTTTGTTGTTTTCTCTTTGTCGATATTCAGGGAGATGCAGGTAAGTATATGTTCGCTTACAGCTGATTAGCTGTATAGAAATGCTGCCATTTGATTGGTTGCCCGAATAACATTCCTCATTCTTTGTTCATTCATCGTTTACCCACGAACAAACCCGAACGTACATGTGAGGCTTCATATTGAACATAAAAAAATATACTGAATATATATTTTCTTCCAATTAGGATAATTGTTTACACTTGTTGCCGGGGCGGTCGGGTAGCCTAGTGGTTAAAGCGTTCGCTCGTCACGCCAAAGACCCGGGTTCGATTCCCGACATGGGTACAATGTGTGACGCCCATTTCTGGTCCCCGCCGTGATATTGCTGGAATATTGCTAAAAACGGCGTAAAACCATACTCACTCACTCACTACACTTGTTGCCATTGCTTATGGTAGACACAAAACATATAAATTGATAGGATTTCTTGAAATTTAAACTCTGCTACCTGGTAGTACACAGACAATCCTATCTCCAATAAAATTGAATGATCTTGTCAAGATCAATGGAAATGTGGTTGGAAGTCTTGTGAATAGTATAAAACCATTGAACAATTTCAACGTTTTTTTTATCAAAACAGAGACCGGTGAGTCCCTCGTTATCGGCTACATGTTCTTCCAGAAACATTGACTGCCATACCCCCAAACCTAAATCAGTCGTTTCTTGATGATTTAGCGACAGGCGATATCCTGGATGATCAACGACAGAGATATTGACAAATTCTTGGAGGATAATGAAAATGTCAACATAATTAAAACAGAAATACGCTGAACATATAACATTTGTTACATTTGACCACTTTGTTAAAGGCATTGTGTGTTTATAGCTTTCGGCCATGGGAGCAGTCCCAATAAACACTTGTCAGAGGGGTACACAAAGTACGTGATTTAGACTACAGGTTGTCAGACTTTCATTTTGAGGACGCATCGGTGGCTGGGTGGGTTAAATCGCTGACTGTGTGCTGGCGATCAGATGTCTAACTCTGGCAGTGTGGGTTCGAATCCCGGACGGAACTCAACCCCCCAAAAGTACGAGAATTTGTACTTTAATTAAAAAGTGAAAAAATAACATTTGGCCACATTCACATTTCTTGGTGCAAATCTGCAAGCACATAATGTTTAGCGACGTAAAATTCATAAAGAATATGTCATTCTTAAACACTGTCTACCTGAACTTGCAGAGCTGTATGAACGTCATGACGTCACTCTGGAATGCTAAGACGCTACCTTGGAATGCGATGATGCGTCATGATATGTGAGGTGGGGTGTGATAGGGTTTAACGTCGTGCTCAAGATTATTGCACTTATATAGCAATGTGCATGCACGTTTGTATGGCTTCTTGTACTAGTCTTGACATAATACCCACTTTACAGTGCTAGCACACTGAGATACCATGATGCAGTTTAACATGAAGACTCAATTCAGACACAGTATACGGACTCAGAACCGACCAGTCCTTGTTTGAGCCCCTTAATGCCGAGCGCCAGGCAGGGTAACAATAAGTACTATCTTTTAACGTCTTTTGGTATGACGTAGCCGGGGACCGAACCCCGGACCTTCAGCTCTCCGCGCGGACTCATGCCACTAGACCAATGAGGCAGTCTCATGCAAAGTGACTTATGCCACATGCTTCCGACATTGACTCGCCTGCTCAACAGATTGTGGAAAAAAAACATTGCTATGATAATGTAGAACACAATTAGCACTGATACAACGTGGTATCTATGTTGTCAAAAGAATTGTTTTTATCTTTATATGCAGTGAAAAGTTCGAAACATTTCCGGCTCCGCATTGGAAGGTAAACGTGATGTGTTTTCATATTTTGAGATGATTTTGAGTATGCAACACGAGGAAATTATTATTAAATTAGCATGCGAAGTGAAAGCGGCAACGTCCGGGATCAAAACACTTTCTAAGCATTTAATGGTTGTGTCATCGGGCTTGTTGGATATGTGTTGCTACCTTCAATGACCTCAAGTGGTGTCATATCAAGTTTATCTCATATATATTGAGGCAAACTTGTCAGTTACATGCATCGGACCACATTTCCAAAAATATGTAGCATTTTTATTTTTAGGAATTGTTTTGATTTGACTGTTACTTTTGGCAAGGATCAAATCCCCTACCATACCCTCGTAATAGATGTTTTGACATGATAATTCAAGAAATGTTCACTGTAGGGGCGTAATACATTGCACACTCAGTATCAGTAACGGGGTTTACGCACTGAAGGTTAAGGACATCGTCAAGGTCCGCACCCTTTTTTCACGAAAAATGACACATGTTAATCAGTTGTATGGTCTGAACAAGAACTCTTAATCAGATCTGTTTTCATTATCAATCAATCGTGTTTCATAGACAACGTAAGGAACCTTATTACAAAAACAGTGAAGACATAAATGATAAGCTTGTGTTTTTGAAATATCTTCATTTTATTTGACAAGCAATTATTACAATCTTCTGCAAAAAAAACATGCACTAGAAATATCTCTAATGTTCAACAGAGTTTCAACTTTATTCACTTGTGTGGCCAAAACACTTAAAATGACGAGTTTCAAAAACTAGACATTTTTGTAAATAAGATCCTTGTGTCACACCAGGTGAAGGTATTTTTTTTATATTTCTGTGGAAAGAAATGTGTATCTACAGAAAGAATAACAGTTCCCTTTCCAAGGGAATCATATACATAAAATGTGCAAAACATGAGTACAATGTTTAATAACAGCAAATTAGCAAATATGTAAGCAAACTGCGTTACAGAGGTGAATAATTTGACAATTACATTTTTACATCACACATATGTTCAGTGCACCAATAACCACATCCAATGAGTAATGAAACAAGTGCTTTTGAATGTCATTACTGACACGATGTGCTAAGACCCTCTGGTGGCATGAACAACTACAATTGTCTGCTGAGTATAGATTTAGTGGCATTATTGTTGGCCAACAACAACATCTCTTATAGTATGGCGTTGCAGAGTTCATACGACGATATCAGATGGGTATTACATGATGAAATGTCACTTGAGGCCCTAGATGACACCCGAATTTCAAAGTTAGGTAGCTAATAAATCCTACATGGCATCCCCCTGTGCTTAATCTCTTCAGCCACTCCCGATGCATAGAAGCTTCAAACTCACGCTACCTTTGTACATAGGGCTCCAGTGCCTGTGTACAATGAACAGTTCTGGCGGGCCAAGGAAAGTCGTCACAGCATTGTTCTGGGGGGTAGGCCGTCACTGCCTGGGGACAGTGGGGTCTGACATTACCATCAATTATATAAGGTTCTGTGTCGAGTTGGCGGTTGTCGAAACGGGGAGTTTCCTTGAACGGTGACCAGGACCAGCTGGCAATCGTGAGGGATACACCCCTAAATTACCGAGCTCCCCCTCCCCATCAGAGATAGTTAGACTGATGCTCCTGGACATATAGGCCGTATTCCTGTGCCGCAAAAACCCTCAGATGTCCTTTCCTGACATGAAGCAGGAACCTGCATGCATCCACCCAATGACTTTTCCATCAGGTTCCCAGGTTCCAAGCTCGTTGTACTAAAGACCATGTCAAACGGAGCCTCTGATGGTGATATGTCAGTAGAAGCCATTCCTGCTGCTCTGAAGCAATTACCCAAGGTTCTGACGGTTGGATACGGACTGATTGGACATTGTCACTTCAGTATTCAGGGATGTGTTGCTAATAGCAGTCGTCGTACAAATGAAAGCAATGTCTTCCGTCCGTAGGCATTGATTTTGCCATTTTGTCTCACTGATGGGCTGATTTTCGTGTAAAGGTAGCCCTGTTGACGTCTGATAGCTTTGAAGGACCACCCGTTTAAATGCATTCAGTTTGTTTGACATGGTTGCGTCTCTGATATCATCAGTGTCCCCGTCAAACATGAACAGTCACATCTTTAAGATGGAAAACCATTCTTGTAATAACAGCTTTGTTTCATGCGTATACTTATCACATTTGACAAGTGGATTCGGTGTCGTTTTTCTATTAGCTGTGAGGCAATCAAATGGAAACAACATACATTGTAATTATTCAGAATATGGTTCAATGTAGTCATCACTAATTGGCGATATATATCTTGCACCTGTGGTTGTGTTTGTTTCAGTGGCTCCAGACGAACTGGTATCTGCATCTTCGCCAGGGACACCTTCTTCTGTAACAGGGAAGATGGAAGCCTCCTCTTTACTTATATCTTGGTGATGTGATGGCCCACACTCTGCAATCATGTCAGCCCCTCTAATTTCCCGGTGTCGTTGTAGGGCCTGGTACTCTTTTGTTTCATCTTGTCCTGGTCTGTTGGGTGGCTCACAGGTCGTGTTCATGTCTGCCTCTCTAATTTCCCAGTATCGATTTAAGGCCTGGTACTCTACTGTTTCATCTTGTCCTGTTACAGCACTGTGGCCTGCATCATGTGGTTGATTACTACAAAATATGAGAAAATGAACGTGATCAGTTACATATAAATAAACCGCACCATATATGTCTTTGTTCCTACATAGGTGGGTAAGCATGACTCTTCCCCACCAGACAAGGGAACGTTGTAGTTACTTAGATATCACATCCTCTTTGTATTCAACTAGACGTTGTATCGAAACATTGTTGACTGCGACCACATTGTAACATTGTGTTTACAATATTTCAAGGACATGGTAACGTTCTTTGAAACAATGTAAAATGTGTCGCAGATATGAACAATAAGATGGGTAAATATTGAATCAAATATGACCGTAGATTGAATACATGGATAAAATGTGGACACGAAGGAAAAGTGACGAACCCCTTTCCTTAATAATGAGAAATATCTGCTAAAAGCCTTTTATACAATTCCGACTTTATCATGAGCATGTGTTCATCAGTCACTATGAAACCTGACGATTCCACCAATGTTAAAGAATTTATTCGTAAGAATTGGTTGTGAATGTTTGGTTCATAGAAATCGAGAATTATATATGTCACTTGTACATACTGACCTTGATGTGGACATACCCATGCGGTAGCAGATGTAGCACACAGCTACTGCTACACACAGTACTGCCATCAGTGAACCTGCATACAGGAAGATACCACTCGCCATCGATTTATCTAAACGAAAATGAAAATGGGAAAAAATGTGTCTCACTGATGGTATAAACAATGATGTCACGCTTCATGTCTACGCTATATACTATTTTAATTTGAAGTTTACATGATAAATGGAAGAGAGGTCGGTGAAAGTGTATGAACGACACATTTTGACGTAAACACTGACTGACTACTTCCAATTTCCGGCGTAAACCCCTGGGAATTCCCTTGCATAAATACATACAAGCATTCTTTCTGATCATTTAAATCCTTTAATCTTGAACTCAGCGTTATACCATACATTTGGATTTCGACTGCATGATCGTTCACAAATATGCTCGCTACGACCCATCCAAGTGAACAAGACGAAGAAATGCTCTCCACTAGCCTATCAAAGTATCGACCCAATCCGTGTCTAGACTGACGGTTACGGTCAACAGCAATCTTTTAATTTACCTTAGTTTATATATATATGGAACAACAAAAGTTCCTGTGACATTGAATAAGATTTAATGCAAAATTATGTTTTTTACCAAATCTGAAACATTTTGACTTAAAAAATGCGTGATTTCATAAAAAGAAACCCGTGAACATGCCAAAATTTCAATTTACAAATCAATAGCGTGTGTATCCACCTCTGGTTGCGATGCAAGCAACACATCTTCGTCTCATGGAATGGACCAGGCGTCGCACAAAGTCCTGTGGGATATCTGTCCATACCTGCTGGAGCATGTTTCGAAGTTCCTAGAGCGTCTGTGGAACACGTGGTTGACGTCGAAGGCGCCGATCCATATAAATCCCACATGTGCTCGATTGGCGAGAGACCAGGGGAGCGAGCCGGTTAGGGGATGACATTCACGTTGTTTTGTTGAACAAGTCGAGTAATATGAGGCCGGGCGTTGTCATTTTGAAAGGTGATGCCTGGGCCATGACCACGCAACACGGTAGAACAACCGGGCCGATGATCTCGTCGCGGTAGCGCTGTCCATTGAGATTTCTCTCTGCCACTATCAAACGGGTCCTCTGTCTTGCTGTAATCCCGCCCCATAACATAACGCTGCCGCCCCCGAACCGACCTTCTTCCATGACACAATGATTGACGTAACGTTCACCTCGACGTCGATACACTCGAATCCGTCCATCGCTGTGGCTGAGGTGAAAGCGAGACTCGTCAGTGAATATAACTTGTCCCTACTGCATGGCCGTCCAGCGTAGACGCTGTCTGCACCACTGTAGACGTGCTTGACGGTGGTTTCCTGTCAAAATTGGGATATCTGCGGGTCTTCTGGCGACAGTCCCTGCGACGTGTGGTCTGTGAATATATTCTTCGAAGGCCAGGGATGCTTTTTGCAGTCACTGTTGCTGGCTGAAATCGATTTCGTAGGTGTGTTGTTCGAATCCAGTTGTCTTGTCAATTATTGGTTACGAGTGGCCTGCAAAACCGAGATTGATCTCTGACTGCATTCGCCTTTTGACAACGTTGCCATAAAAACCAAATGGTGTTTCTGTGGACGTTAAATTGTCTTGCAACATCACGTTGACTCGATCCTGCTTCAAGCATACCAATGGCTCGCAGACGCTCATTTTTGGACAGGCGTGGCATTTCGTAATGTTGAATAGTTGCGTAATTTTGGTGTTTTTCTGAGTGGTTGTTGTCAGCACGATGCTAAACAATGCATATGGAATCCCGTTAACGTGCATGGTTTTATACCCATTCTTGGGCAGTGAAATGCATGGGGCATGCATGCTTTTCTGTAGCAGTTGCGTTTTTGTGACTTGATTCCATACATGTACTACAATAGTGAAAACCCACCTTTCCTTGTATGAAAAATACACTAAAATATTGGTGTCACAGGTTATTTTTGTTGTTGAGTATATTTGAAAAATATTTATAATCACCTTTCAATGATCAGCCAACTGATCAATGATGGCTAACACATGTAACCGCCTAAGGTTTCATTGAAAACTTCGGAAACCTCTAACGTCACGTTTATCGTGCACTTGATGTTAATGTTTATCAGACCTTTCTCACCCAATGATAATATTATTTGAATGTATTTCTTGTGAACAAGCTGCAACAGATATCCCGGTGAAGCAAGTTGAGCATATCTACGCACATGTCACCTTTTGAGGAACTATTTTATTCCGTGATACAGCTGGTTGTTGCAATTGTATGGCTGTCAGTGTAAACATGAATTCACACGTATAGATCCAGCGCTACATCACTCGAGGTATTAAATAGTGAAATAAAAAACTTAAGGAACTGTCTTTCAAAGAATGAGAGCAAAACATTGTACGACTGTTGTCGCATGTGGAAGTAAATTCTTAAATAACTTACGGGATGTATTATTAACGAATGAAGTAATATGACGGAAAATACGTTTAAAAAGAAGTTAAACCACCTATTCATATCATTTACATTCAGTTAACATGTATCGACGTTTTTGACCAAAATGACATCATAATTGAAAATAATATTTACACAAAACGTGTACAACCCTGCCAATCTAAATAACATCAATGTTTTTAAAGCTCAGTCACTAATGTTAACGTAGGGTTTTCAAAAGTTACCTTTGCCACTAGATTCAGTTGTGCGCTCAGTTGTTGGAAAACCCTTTGAGCAATTCAGAGTACATCCTTCCTCTGTGACGAAACATCCGTTGATACATTTTCCAGTCGGCTGATCACACACATGATCATTACACAGAGTTCTGGTGAGATTACAGAACTGTCCATACATCCCATTGTGACACACTTTTAAACAAGTTCCGCTGTTTGAAATGCAAGTGTAATTGGCACAGTTCTCAGAACATGGTTTACAATCTTTTCCAAAATGACCTTCGGTGCAACCTTCAGCACATTCCCCGGAGATATTACATCGTTTGTTAATGCAGTTCGAGTTGCACTGAAATGAACACAATGGACCATACCAGCCAGCCACACAACCATGGACGCAATCTCCGCTCTCTTTGTGGCACTCAGGAATACACAAGTTTGAAATGTTTACATCTGCTCCTGTACACCGCTTGTCAGGAATTACCGCTGGATTAGAACGACATTTTTCACTGCACATGTCGACACACTGATCCCCATATAATCCCGGTGCACATCCAGTTTCACACGACCCTGAAGAGTTATTACATGAGTACTCACAGTTCAGGCCATGATATGGTGGGTGACAATGGTCACACGTACCTGTTGTCCTATTGCACGATTCGCACCTGCTGGAACAATTCCTGCAATCTGAGCCGAAGTAGAAATTGTGACATCCCGAGAAACATGTATCGCTTTGGTAACAAAATTCCCCTTCACATCCCCCTGGACAATTGGTGCATTTCCCCGTTGGAACGAGACAACCTACATTGCAGTTTACACCATGGTATCCAGGTTCACAACCTTCGGTACAATATTCTGTGCCTGAAACTTCCTGTTCTTTACACTTCTTGAGCTTGCAATTCTTGCTGCACACGGACTTGCATTTTGGGTCGTAATATCCAGTCTCGCATTCTGTGATGCAGTTTCCTGATGCCGTAATACACACTGAACATTTCTGGTCGTCACGACAGGGGTCGGCTGTAAATAAAAACCGTCAGTAGGACTTACGTCATGTTTTGTATTAATGTTCAACCAAACACGGGCGAAGACCATACAGAGAACTTAAACAAATCACCATTATTGATAGTTGTATGTTTCGAAAATTGAAGAGATCTGTTATATGTTTATGTAAAACATATTGACAAACGATCTTACCTCTTGTTGAAAGAATCAAGCAGGCAATAGTTACAAGTACGACACCAGCCATTATTTATCTGAAATGTAGAAAGCTTAAGATAACGCGTGTAAACTAATAGTTATAAAAAATACATTGAAATACATGATAAATGAGATTACCAGATTATGCGTATTTACGAAACTTTATTTGATGTGCAACGAAACGAATAGCAAAGTATATAAAAATACCTTAAAAATACCTTAAATCAGCAATCAATAAGTTTGACACGTTATTCATGTAACAACTCTCACATTCATGAAGGCACTGACAGCTGCATGTGGATGACAGAGGGTATACTGCACTCTAGAGCCGGGCCTCCTCCTAAATAACCTGTGGTACATGGAAATAGAAACTATGATCTAGGGCTCAGTGATCACATATGTCAACTTAATCACAGCACACTTCAGCTGATGAGTTTCGTATTCCTCTTGCGTGTACTTGTCATTCAGATATTGTGTAATACTAGTAATATGCGTTTTTGACAAAGTGTGCTCACTATCTGATTAAGCATTGTGAAAGAAACACAACTGGCACAACGATGTTTTGTAAATACGACATTCGTTGGTGTTCTCATGGTTTCCTATTCCTCTTGCAGGTATTCAGCATGTTTTACTTTGTTCTGTATATCGTATATACGCACAAGGTGAGACATAAATAAACTATCTGCCTGTCTGTCTGTCTGTCTGTCAGTAACAGTGTTAGACCAGCAATACTTTATTATGAATAGCCTTCCATTATCTAAAAACAAGTGTCCTCATATATAATAACTCCTCTTTCATTCTAAGCATGCAGTCATGAATCACTATCAAATATCGATTTACCACATGCCCGCGAAAAGACGAGCGTACGCCGTCCTACTGGCGCCACTCGACACAAACACACGCAAAACAAACACCTGGGAACAAGCGGCACAAGTCAAAGTAGGGATCTGTGTCGGACATCACCCGAGGTTCTGAAACACCAAATCCGGGATACCCCTCACATGTCCATCACAAAACTGTTTGAAAGCTTTTCTGAGGCCATGAATGCCCCAAACCAGATCAAACAACAGTGGTCATTCTACACTCCCTGAAAGCATCTCAACCATGGATATTGCCCGACAATAAGGGAAAGTTCACATAAGCCTCCTACTCACACATCATATTTTGTCACGTTGAATCTTTATGCATAGATATATAGATGGAGATGTGAGGTGGCCTCACTGACCTCCGAGGCAGGGTATTTGTTATTTGACTGTTATTATGC